AAAAGACTTGAGTTAAAATAATTTTAATTGTTTTGGTAAAATTAAGGTCAAAATTGTAGTTTCTGATTTAAATAGGATAGTTAAGAGACAAAAAGTATCATCCATTTGTTTCAAAATATGCTAAAATCATCATTTATTCATATTTATTACAAATTTTTACAAAGCTAAAATTAAAACCTCAAAAAAGTTACATAATACTAAAAACTTTTAAAGTGCAATAATGGACTAACAATACATTTATGTATTAAGTATGATTATGAATTATGTATCATTATGAAGAAATGACAATTAATATAATGACTGCATTGTGCTTATGAAATGGAAATGATTTGTATTTTTCAAAATAAAATGCAATGAATGCTTATAGACCATAGCACTTTATAATCTATAATCACAAGTCAAATGACTAATATCAAAAATACTGATAAAGAAAACTAAACTTATTCAGAAGACAATGATTATTGTTTTAAGAAAGTAGTTTTGTTTAAGCAATTAATTTTAGAACTACAGAACAACTATCAAGGTTATATAAAATCTCATTGTTTTTAGCTTATTTTCAGTTTTAATTTTCTAAGAATGTATACTATACTGGATGTTTTTAATTATAAAAGTTTTCTTCTATTTTATTAAGAGATTATTAATTATTGATTCATTCACTAANAATACTTATTATTAAAAATGTTTTGATACGTTAGAAATAAATAGACATTTGGCTAGACATTATCCATAGTTTTTTTTTTTTAAATCTAAAAAAATATTTTCAGATCTATTTGTTTAATAAAGTAAACAGTATTCACAAGAATTAGAGCTAGAAATTAATCAATTACCATTCACTTTAAGTATATGACTGCTTATTAGCTAACTATAACTCTTGATCCTGTGTTGTGAATACAGTCATTAAAATTTCAAATGTAAGCTTAAACAATAAAAAGAAAACTTCTTTGAACATTGTAATTGCTATAAATTTAAAATAATGCCATCTTTAATCATGCATGCAGCTATAAAAATTAATAAATTAAGTTCTCATTATTTTAACTTAATACTGCTTAATATCAAAACTTCAAAAGAACTTAGAAAAATAAATTTATTAAATGATATAAACTTATTTATTGAAACTATGTTTTGAATAGTTTATAAATATAATACAGGAATACTACAAAATATATTTTAAAAATTCCTATAAAAAATTTAAATTCAGATTGCATTTAAATGAAAATACTTATGATATATACTTAAAAATCTACACTATCATTTAAACTATTTTAACTCAAAAAAGAATTGTCTTCTTTTTTAGATTTATTAGTACTGTAATCTGTTTCAGGAATATAAAGACAAAAGTTCCTTAAATTTAATAGGAATTATATAAATTTTTGTTCAAAAAATGAAAAAAACTTCAAGAACAACCCATCACAGATAATTTCAAACTATCAATTGGCAAGTTTTAGTTAAGCATAATTTTAGAATAAACTAAATGACTACCAACAGATCAACACATACAGTGTTAAGCTAAATATTTCTGTTTTTAGTTTTTAAATCCTAAAGAAAGAGCTAGATACACATTTTCTATAATCAGCTGTTCATACTTTATTGTACTGTACTGTACATACTATATATGCTGAAACATACATCATCATTTTCCCAAATTTCCTGCATCTTAGAATAATAAGTATTAAATTGTGGTTTATGTCCTGACAAGGTCAATCCCCATTGGATAGAGACTTCAACAATATCTTCCTGATTTTTCTAAAATTTAAAAGCATAACAAACACTTCCATATAAATTGGAAGTATTTGTTTTGTCCATAGAAAATAACTTTTCCTCCCCTCTGCTTCTGCTCAGTTTTCATCACCTACAGCTGAAACACTAATGAGGGAAATATCACCTGCATTTAAAACTTACAGCATCATCTGCAAGTTTTGTTTCCTGTCATACTTAAACCAATGTTTTTTTGTTTTTTCAATTTAGCTATTTTCTGACATAATCTCAATAATACTGTTAATATAGCTGTTTAGAAATCAATAATTTATACTTATATTAGAAAATTATTTTTTTTAAATATTTTCCTCTCCAAAATTATATAAATATTCTTTATTTACAAAAAGGCATTTTTATAAAGTTGTTTTGTTCAGTTATAATTTATATGTAATTAAAATTAAAAATTTTCAATTCATATAATTATATATTATAGCAACATTAAAACTGGTTGTTTTATCACTGTATATTTGCATTATACAAAGTAGAAGAACACCAGAGCAAACCAATTACAAAAGACTGTGCAATGATGAGTCAACCAATATAGGTTAAACAAGTTCACGTCCTCAAATATCAAACTTTAATGATACTAAAAATTACTGGAAACAATACTGAATACCATAGCAGAGACTTGCTTAATTTATACATATTTTACAAAAATATATTTCAAGTCAGTCTTAGTCTATCAATATAATTTTCATTAAAAAATAAAAATATATTTTAAAAATTCCTATAAAAAATTTAAATTCAGATTGCATTTAAATGAAAATACTTATGATATATACTTAAAAATCTACACTATCATTTAAACTATTTTAACTCAAAAAAGAATTGTCTTCTTTTTTAGATTTATTAGTACTGTAATCTGTTTCAGGAATATAAAGACAAAAGTTTCTTAAATTTAATAGGAATTATATAAATTTTTGTTCAAAAAATGAAAAAAACTTCAAGAACAACCCATCACAGATAATTTCAAACTATCAATTGGCAAGTTTTAGTTAAGCATAATTTTAGAATAAACTAAATGACTACCAACAGATCAACACATACAGTGTTAAGCTAAATATTTCTGTTTTTAGTTTTTAAATCCTAAAGAAAGAGCTAGATACACATTTTCTATAATCAGCTGTTCATACTTTATTGTACTGTACTGTACATACTATATATGCTGAAACATACATCATCATTTTCCCAAATTTCCTGCATCTTAGAATAATAAGTATTAAATTGTGGTTTATGTCCTGACAAGGTCAATCCCCATTGGATAGAGACTTCAACAATATCTTCCTGATTTTTCTAAAATTTAAAAGCATAACAAACACTTCCATATAAATTGGAAGTATTTGTTTTGTCCATAGAAAATAACTTTTCCTCCCCTCTGCTTCTGCTCAGTTTTCATCACCTACAGCTGAAACACTAATGAGGGAAATATCACCTGCATTTAAAACTTACAGCATCATCTGCAAGTTTTGTTTCCTGTCATACTTAAACCAATGTTTTTTTGTTTTTTCAATTTAGCTATTTTCTGACATAATCTCAATAATACTGTTAATATAGCTGTTTAGAAATCAATAATTTATACTTATATTAGAAAATTATTTTTTTTAAATATTTTCCTCTCCAAAATTATATAAATATTCTTTATTTACAAAAAGGCATTTTTATAAAGTTGTTTTGTTCAGTTATAATTTATATGTAATTAAAATTAAAAATTTTCAATTCATATAATTATATATTATAGCAACATTAAAACTGGTTGTTTTATCACTGTATATTTGCATTATACAAAGTAGAAGAACACCAGAGCAAACCAATTACAAAAGACTGTGCAATGATGAGTCAACCAATATAGGTTAAACAAGTTCACGTCCTCAAATATCAAACTTTAATGATACTAAAAATTACTGGAAACAATACTGAATACCATAGCAGAGACTTGCTTAATTTATACATATTTTACAAAAATATATTTCAAGTCAGTCTTAGTCTATCAATATAATTTTCATTAAAAAATAAAAATATATTTTAAAAATTCAGTTCAATATGCCTATTTTTAGGAATTTTAAGAAATTATTAGCATATTTAAATAATAATTGAAATATAATTATAATAATCTTATATCACAAAAATATAAATTTTAGCAATTTTCAACAAAGCATAAATTTCTGTTTTACGTAAAATAATCAATGAGTAGTAAAACAAAATGCAATTAAATTTAATTTACAAAATTATGTAATTTCATGGAAAATTACAATTAATATTGTTAAAATTTTGTTCTAAAAAACAGAATAATACAATGAAATAAAAAACAACAACTGTTATTTCATAACAATTTCAAAATATACTAATATAATAAAAATTTTTATATTGTATAAAATAAAATATTTTTCTAACATTTATTGAATAGTATTAAAATAATTATAGGTGTGGCAATTTAATAAGCTAAATTGTGTAAAATTAAAATTATTATTACAAATAATAATATTACATTTCCAAACAAAACAAGAAGAAAAATACAAAACAAATAAACAACCAAATATTATTTTTCAACATAACAAAAAATCATTTAATTATGTAAAGGAAATACGCCTACGTCAGTGCCACATAGATAAACTAAATTCGAACAAAATACTTAAATACAAACGTGAAAATTAATTTGATTAGATTCCTCACACTCGGTCACTATCAATTCGCCTTAAGATAAAATTATACTTAAATCATTATATTATTTCAAGATACGTAATAAAGATCCGCAATAATTAAAATATGCATAAATTAGATGCGAAACATCTAAGAAAAAGGTATCGATTTAACATTACGTATCGACGGGTATCAATAACAATTTTGTAAGCATGTCATTATAAAAATATTTCAAAATTCATCTGATTTTTTCTTGTATACAATAAAACACTATTATACAGTTTAATTTTTATCATTTCCTTACTCCAGCCATTATGTTTCACTGTTACATCATAATAGACATATGTTTTTTTCTATATATACACTTCTTAACAAAGATAGATTCATACAAACTTAACTATTACACAATTTAATCAATACTTTGACTTTTTTTAGGTAAATAGATCTTCTAATAATAACTTAAAATCAATAAAAACAAATAAAAATTCTTATACACATACATAAAAATAAACTTTATAGTATGATAATATGAAAGTGTTAAGGATAATGGGGATAGTGTAAAGTGTCTAAGACGTGGAATAAAGTGAGAAAAACAATATAAAGCTTACAATGAATCCATCCTTCATGATGGTCTTCCTGCTTCTCATTATCATCCCTACAACCTTTTTAGATACTTTAGCCGGCATTTTTTAAAATATACGTCATCGGTTATATTAATAATAAACAATTTAAAACCCGGGATTATGTATTTTACTCGAAATCACTTTAAAAATTTACTTAAAAACGTAGACTTAGGAAATTGGAGTCAAATCAACCACTTTAACAGTACCTCCATTTTATTATGATGTCACACGTAGTCTCGTCACACTATCGTAAGATAATGTAACTCGGTTTCGAGAGTATTAATGTATTGTTTAAATTTTTCTAGTGTAATTTGAATTATTTTCTTTTCTTTATGTATTAAAAATTTATTATTAAACGCAATTAAAATTTTGTAATAAACTTAAAAATTGTATATTTATAATTAAAATTTCTTCCTCTCTTTTTTTTATATTAAAATGATTAAAATTTAAAACTGTTTAAAATTTTTTTTAATTTAATTTAATATA